GAGAGAGAGAGAGAGAGAGAGAGAGAGAGAGAGAGAGGGGAATGGTAAAAAATCATCCGTTGGTTGTTTTTTATCTCTCTCTCTCTCTCTCTCTCTTTTTTCGGCTCGCCCCGGTAATTTCGTTAAATGGACGCTCCTTTCTCTCTCTCTCTCTTCTCTTGGTGGCGAGAGAAGTAGAGGAGGAAGCCGGAAATTAAACGGGGATTTAAATGTAACGCTTAAATGTTCTCGCCCTGTGAAAATATTAGTATTCGTATCTGTGTGCCTATTCGTTGATTCATCTATCTATCCGTATTTTTGCAGACATACAGACACACACACACACACACATACACATATACACAGACAGTAATATCGTTTGAAATTTTATTCATCCTCCAGATGGGAATTGAAAAAGAATTTGCTTGATCGTTCGTTCGTTCGTTCGTTCGTTCGTTTTTAATCGTTAATTAATATTTTTTTTCAATTAACTTTACACATTTGAAAATAATTTTCTCAGTTGTAATAGGGTAGTAAATGATTATATCATCGTATTATAATATTTCAAAGGAAAGAACAACAACTGGAGGTGTGTGTGTGTGTGTGTATAACCTTTTTCATTTTTAATCTGGGGATTAAAAATGCTAAAAGAGGGTTACGTTATTGTTATCCTACTTAAATGATTAAATTCAAATAAATGTTCTGATTTATGCATCGGATTTAACGATTTCCGATGAGCCCTGCAACGAATATCTACTCAATTTTCGTCTAAATTGGAAGTAAGCTCACGTAAAATGATGGTAGCAAAGCGAATGAAAACGAACGGACGACATCCCGTATCAATTATACTCTATCGTTTCAATTGAATATGCAAATTAATTACGTTACATGGCACGAAGTTTCTATCCGATCATTTCACAGCCGTAACAAAATGTTATGAGGCGATTAATAAACGATATCGATATCATTACTCTCGTTACTATTGGCGAATATGATTTTTGGCATTGATACATTCTAATCGATATCAATGTGGTCGTTTTCCGATGACAAGTGAAGTAAAATAATCAGTATTGCATTAACGCACGTAGATCGTATATCGAAATTTTTAACTATACACATTTAACGTCGTGAGAAATACCGGATCATCGACGATACGTCGTTTTATCATGTACACTCGGATATAAACAATTTCCAATTAACCATGATAAATAAAATATATATCAAATTCGTCGAAATAAAACTATCACATTTGGAACAATATGAACTTGAGCATTAAAAATATCATTTTTAACTCGTAGTTCGTTTGATTATAGATCTCGAGCGATCGTTTGATAACTTGAATCGAGATCAAGTTCACTCTTTTGTTGTAACTATTGGCAAATAATTTGACTACGTGTTATACCACAAACAACTATTCTCGAGTAATTGCTTTTTTTTTGTTCGTACAAGTTCAATTTACGTTTCACGATACAAGTTCCCAAATGGGAAGGGAGGAAAGATGATCAAGACTATAAGGATTTGGAATCAAAAGTATTTACACAAGTATACGTTTGTAATAATTAAGAATTAAAATTATTGTCAATAATCATGCGATATATCCTGAAAGAAATAGGATACGAAGAACCACGACACTTAATAATAATAATAATAATAATAATAATAATAATGTCATATATTTATAGTTTCCATTATAATTCGACTAATGTTACATAGTGTAACTAAAACGTTGATGCTAATAAATTATAAGTCCAATAAGTATCAGAAGCTATTATTGATTTAAGCTTGACTTTGACATCTCATTAAGTATTAAATTAAGCGACACTTTGTAATATAAGTGGTCCTAACTTCGTTGAACGCGAGCGGGGCTCCTTAAGTACTTTCACGGCTGGTCGGGCGAACGTCTTAAAAGGAGTCAGCCTGACTCTATTAGGAAGTCGCCATATTGAATGCAGGGACTCCCTACTAGAGTCAATTTGACCCCAGTTAAGTTCAATCTTCTTTCTTCCTATTTTCTTCTTCTCGAATACCGGCACAGCAGTCCATCCTTCTTCTTGTCCCTTTTTCGTCCTTCTTCTTCCTCTTCTTCTTCTTCTTCTTCTTTCACTTTTTTTTTCCTTTTTCTTCCGTTTTCTTCTTCTTCATTCCCCCCTTTTTTTCCACCCCACCCTTCCCCCTTTCCCTTTTCTCTTCCTAAACATTAGCTTCGACACCTAGTAGGAAGAGATATAACCCGGTGTTAAACATGGTGTGAGACGATCGATCGGTACGATCTTAATTACAACGTTGGAAAGTTAATCACCCTCATTGGACACATTTATGCACTTCTCTATCGA